GAATTCAATGTGACCATGGATTTAATTTTGAACCAGATAATGCAGAAAAGGTGGTTGAATGCACAAGGAATGGGTGGTCGCCTTCACCAAAATGTGTTGGTAAGCAGAACTGACATGCATTACTATGATTACAGGAGGACTGATCTTCTCTGTACAAATTTATTTTTTAACATTATTTTACATGAATTTCCAATTTTCTGCCTAAGGGACGTATCTCACCCAGGACATTTTAGCAGAATTTGCACATACTGTATCTAAAGTGTCTATTTAGTTGCAACAGGATACTGGGCAGACATGATAGGAGGAGGTGGTGTTGCAAATGGTGAACAGGCAAGATTGTATCACTGCATTTCCACATGTTCTCCTTGAAAAGATTTTTTCTAGATATGCGGTAAGCCTGCAAGAAATGTGTTTCAACAAAGCTGCTTGTTAAATGAAGAGGGATATACAGTACTGTTCCTTTTTCACAGACAGATTGGTACACTTGTTGCAGAAAAAAAAACTAACTTGGCCAGTATTCCTTTCTCTTAGCAAATGAATAGGCCTAATGTAAACATAGATACAAATCATAGGTTGGTGAACTTAATGTTCCCTACACATTTTGAACAGAGGAAACAACAGGGTAGAAGTTACTAAACAGCTGGAAATGTTGAATGTTAAGTATGAAATGAATAGCTTTAGAGAGGGAAAGGAAAAGGCAAAACATAATTTATTATAACTGCTCTACAAGTACAAATCCTAAAGCTTTCTTGAAACATACAGTATGTTGCTCAGAAGTTGTTGACAGGTAACATATCGAAAGATACTGAACAGAGATTCAGCCAACCTAGCTTGGTACAAAAATGAATCTTTAAAAAAGGTTGTTTCTTAAAAGCTGATTGCACCAAAAGAGCATATTAGCCCAAGAGAGGCAAGCAAACTAGAGGGAAAAGGCCATTAGTCACTCCAGAAAAAAAGCTAGTGTATAGTTGTAAAAGGTAGCTAAACAGCTGAAACTTGCTCACATTATTTTGCAGCAGGTTTCCAAAATGCTCTAAAGATCTCCTTTACCACCAGGATATGACTTAAATTAGGCAACAGATCTCCAAAATAAGCAATATCAAAGTAGTTGATAAACAGGTCATGCCAATACTTCCTTTTCAAAAGCTGTTTTCCTTCACGAAAGTTTAAAAGTACAGCAAGTCAAAGCAACCTCAGTCACACATCGGCCCTCAAACTTGGTGTGAGGAACGATGAACATTTTAATAGTTCAGCTATAATATTAAACAGGTTGGCTATGTTTCTGCTTAGAATTGGGTGGATATAATACAATTTCATACCACTGTGAGTGAGGCATCTTTGCACCATGGTTAAAGGGCATGCAGAAGAGCTCACAGTTTCTACTAATGTCTTTCTTTTTTCCATTAGCAGTTCAAAGTACCTGCAAGAAGGTTTCTCTGCTTCATGGGTTTTTTGTTCAGAGGCAACAGAGTTTTCAGCTCAATGAGAAAGCAAGATATAACTGTCATGATGACTACGTAACTCCAGAAGGAAAGAGTGAGGGAGAGACATGGTGCCTGGCAGAGGGCTGGAACCCAGAGCCAAAGTGTATCAGTAAGTCGACATAATTCCACTGGAAGATAGATTGAAACTGACTGGCACAAAGACATGGAAAACTTAATAAGTGAAGTTTAAGAATAGTTTGATATAATATCCATTTGTAACCTGTATCCCTTTAGAAACTCTGCAGAAACACTGGACACTCATATGTAGGGTACTTGACCAGGACTTGAAGAAATGACTTGCAGCTTAAAATTTGCACATTTTTATTTTGAATAGAACAGGCTGTAGAATTTACATATTCTTTACAATTTTCCAAAGAGCAAACACTGCAACACAGAAGACACTGAAAATAAGAATGGAAAACATGCAGTTCTGTCTATAGATCCTCTTTCTGTTCCAGAACATGGTGAGATTATGAAAATCTGATGCCTCCAAATCCAGGTGGGGCTGTAATGAAACATGGCATAAAACAGTCACTAAGTACCAGGAGACCATATATTCTGGTTTGTCTTCAACCTCAAGATTACAATCCAAAGGAGAAATGGCAAAATAGAAGAGATTCGAAGGGAGGAAGAAGAAGCAACCTAGGTTCTTAATTACAACATTGAGGTCAGAGGTTTAAGCATACAGAGTCATATCATCCTACAGTTTCATTTAATTTATTTCCATATTACAAGTATTAAGACCAAATCTAATTTCCTCTAAATGCTTTTGAATTGCTTTCATTTCCCAGTAAGCCCTTCAGAAATGTGAAGTCTATGAGATGCTCCTAAATGTCCTGCTAGAAATCCAGTTCCATTTAGACCAGGAGCATATGATCTTTTGGCAGCTTTAAACTACAATGTCTAATATCTCTGTTGGTATCTGAGGGTTGCAAGGGTTATGACAGGGACATAACACCACTGGATGGGATACTTAGCCTCTTTTCCACATTGGTACGTGTGTATGTGTTAAGATTAAAACTGCATTCAGGCTGTAGGAACTTAATTCATCATTGTAGCTTATTTCCCACTGAAAATTAGCAGGAAATCATGTGCTCATTATTCAGCCACTAGACGTTAGCAGGGAAACTTTGGGGGTTTTGAAAGCTAAATGAAGGAGATTGTGTGTGGTCACAATCCATAGCTTATTTTAGAGAGCAGTTTATTAATGTTCTGCAGTTATCACAAATTTCTCACAAAGTAATTCACAGTAAAACACAGAGTTATACAATAGTCATGTTAATGTTCAGAGGGAAAATGGAAAAAGCTACTCCTAATTTTGAGCACAGAGCTTTTCAGGGTGTGTGAAGTATTTTGGGGGGGGGGGGCCTGCCACTCCATTAGCTCTGACTTTTTCAACAAACTGGGTGGCAAAGCCAGGTTTATTTAGTCAGAAATAATATAGTTTCTTCTAACTTTATTTTGGGGATAAATGCAGTTTAATAATTTTACTTCTAATCCAAATGATAAACCTAAGAGTTCTTATACTGACATCACCCTCTTTTTTACCACCTCATCTTCTGATAACATGGTATCTTAGGCACGGGGGCCTTATTACTATGTCTCTCATTTACTTGGAGGACCAAAATTCTTTTAACAATAACAGAGTATGAACAAATTATATGGATATAAGTGGTTTGTGTTTATAGGTGTCAAACCTTGTGCTCATTTATAGGACATATGTTGCCTCCTGCTGTTTCTCTTGTATTTTTCGGATAAAAAAACGCATGGTGATTATCTCTTTTTCCTTTCCTTCTGATCTTCCATCATCTGACAGCTATCCTGTCTATAAACTACCTTGTTCTATCTACTACTCTCTCCTTCAGTTCTCCAAGCTCTCTACCACCACCTTTCTTAAAGGAGGATTGAATGAAGTCTTTATTTGCCTTTCACTTAAGCAACAATCTACCATTCCATCTACAATTTCAGTATTTTTCTAGGAATTTGGCAGATGGGCAACTCACAAGTCTTATTAGCATTCCAGCAATGATATACTAACAAAACAGTTATTTCAGGGGACAGATGTTGTTTTGATCATACCCAGCAAAAATCCTTTGAACCATGGAAGAAGCTCAGTACAAGGTCACCTGAATTGAAAGCATCATCTCAGAGACATGCCTGCATTTGTCAGGCCTTTGTTGGCATTTGGCTGTACTTGTTAGTAGATTTCAGCAGAGGAAGATAATCCATTTTAAATGGACTATGGTAAAATCTAGGTCTGATCCACTGTCGTCCTATTACATTTCTAAACAAGAACTTCAGATAGAGAACAACCATAAGAAACCAAACCCATTATAGAACTTTCTAAAGTTCTATAATATTTAGAACATTCTAGAATATCATAGAAAATTCTTACAGTCAGTTCACTGTATTGTGATTTTGCTAGAAATTAAAGGTTCTGTCATGATTATAAGAATGTAAGAAATAATATTGAATACTGGATAATTCAGGTAGTTTCCTATCAGATTCAGAAAGATTTTCAATTTAACTGTACCAAGAAGAACTTTGCAATATAGGCTCAGTAAATGAAGGATGGTGAACAAAAGTTTTAGCAATGTTTTGCTTTAGGCATTAGGAAAAATGTTATCATTGCAAATTGCAACACTAAAAGATGCCTATAGTTTGGGCTGGGCTGGGCATTTACAAGGAGGGATTCATCTTCTTACACACTCAATATTGCAAGAAAAACTCTGAGGTTGAACATTTATGATTTTCTACACAAGTTATAACAGGGGTGAGAGTCGCTTCAGATTGCTTTGGGACATGCAGGGTGCTCATGCTGCACCTGTCTTCAATGCCTTAAAGCAGCCATGTCTTCTCTCAGGATTGCATAACAGTTCTTAACAGCTGCAGCACTATCTTGAAGAAATGTGCATCTGCATTAAGGAGTCCAAGCAAAGCAGCATTTTGCCTTTGTATCTAAAGTGCTAGACGGACCTAATATGTAATTGAGAGGGTGGCAATGGCTCTTGATCATGCCCAAGTGGCCTCTCCCCACCTGGGGGTCCTGGAACTCTCCTTCATTTATGGATGAGTTATGGAGGAGTTCAGTTCAGCCTATGTATTAGATCCATGTCCCTTCTGGTTGGCTAAGGCCTTCTGGGAGGTGACATGTAGATGGGTCTTGGTGATGGTTAATTCTTCTTTGAGAGAGGGGGTGATTCCACCTTCTCTCAAGGAGGTGGTGGTCTGCCCCCTCCTCAAGAGGGCATAACTAGACCCATAAATGGAGAATTTTCATTCAGTTTCCAACCTTCCCTTTTTGAGGAAGTTTGTGGAGAAGACAGTTGTGCAACAGCTTCAAAGGACTCTGGAAGAAGCGAATTATCTGGACCCTTTCAGTCAGGATTCAAGCCTGGGTATGGGACTAAGACAACATTGATCACACTCTCGGATAAACTCTGACATGAGCCGGACAGGGATGGTGTGTCTGTCCTTATTCTTCTTGATTTCTCAGCAGCTTGATCATGGTATCCTTCTGGACAAGCTCCAGGAATTGGGGATGGGGAGCTCCACTGTGGGGCTGGTTCTCAGAGGAAGGCCTCTGGGGGGCCGGTTCCAGCTGGTATTGATAGAGGAGGAGAGGTCCAGCCTGTGGCCCCTGCTTTGTGGCGTGCTGCAGGGCTCAGTGCTGCCTTTTCTCCTGTTTAACATCAGTGACTGGGTGGGATCATCCCTCAGTTTGGGGTGAGGTATCATCAGTACGCAGATGATACCATTATATATCTCTACCATGGGCTGCCTGAGTGATGCTAGGGAGGTACTGTCTCAGTGTCCGAAGGCTGTAGAGGTCTGGATGGGGAACAACTGGCTTCAGTTCAACCCTAGGAAGACTGAGTGGATCTGGGTTTTAGACCTCCTGGTTCTGGGGACTTTCCATCTCTTGTTCTGGATGGGGTTGCACCAGATAGATCCTCTGTGCAATCTGGGGGTGCTGCTGGACTCACAGCTCCTGCTTGAAGAGTAGGTGGCAGCTCTGGCCAGGAGGGCCTTTGTACAGCTTTGTATTGTGTACCACTTGTGTCTGTTCCTGGACCAAGAGGGCCTGCTCACATCACTCATACCTTAGTCACCTCCTGATTGAATTATTGCAATGCGGTCTACAAGGGGCTGCCCTTGAAGAGTATTTGGAAGCTTCAGCTGGTGCAAAATAAGGCAGTGTGAGCAATTATGGGTGCCAGTTGCTTGGCACATGTGACACCTCTGTTCTGCCTGCTACATTGGCTGCCAGTATGCTTCCAGGTACAATTTAAGATGCAGGTGGTTACCTTAAAAGCCCTTCATGGCTTAGGGCTCGGTTACTTATGGGACAATCTGTCCCCAGTGGTGTCTACCTGTCCTGTTAGATCTGGCAGGAGAGGCATGTTCTGGGTCCCATCCACAAGAGAGTGTTGTCTAGTGGGACCCAGGAGGAGTGCCTTCTCTGCCTTGGCACCTGCCCTTTGGAATAGCATCCCCCCTGAGAGCAGACTTGCCCCAACCTTGCTGGCCTTAAAAACTTGAAGCCTGGGCCCCTGATAGTGTGGGTGAGCCGATTGTTTGGTTGTATTGTTTGTGCTGTGTTTGATTATTCTCAGCTGCCGTTTTATGCTGTCTTATGTTATTTGTGTTTCTTATCATTGGCTGTGTTTTTACCCTGTTTTTATTTTAATTGTTAGCTGCCCATATGAGATGGGTGGCCACCTAAATTTAATTAATAAATAAATAAATAAATAAATAAATAAATAAATAAATAAATAAAATTGGCCTATATTCTGTGTGGAAAGGTTTCAAAAGCAGAATGTTGAGCATCATGATACATAAGGAAACTCAAATATAAAATCAACTTGTTCATCAGATGCTCAGTATGGCCCTGTGGATATGCCCAGAGATGCTAGAATCATGAAAGGGGCAGTGGAGCAGTCGACAAGACCAAGTTGTCTCTTGTAAGCTCCAGGCCCAGTTGAAAAGCAAAGTGACTTTGGCCATGTTTGCCAAAATCACTAGCGTGAAGCAGCAACAGCTTATTTATAGCGACTCACCAATTACTTCATGCATGTGCCTACTGTCAGGGAAAAAACCCTCACTAAACTCGGGAGACAGACATACCATAAAACAAGTCACCTCAAAGTTCTAAGTTCTTCTAAGAGCTTTATTGAAAGTTAGTTCAACAGGAAAGTAAAGTGCAATCAATAACATACAAGGTACTTACTTAGATACACATTGCAATGCGGACGAACAGGAGCAGGCCGTCACTGGGACAGCCTGACCATGTGGGTGCAGACCCCCAAATTGCAATCCTTTTTATCCTTTAAAACCACAAACCACAATCATGACTCTTTGGATTGTCATAACGTCCCCAGAGCTAATTACATCACACTTTCCCAGTCCCTTTGTCCCTGTCACATCTGTTCCCATCAACAAGTCTGCTTATTTAATAGCTTGCTCTGGTTTTGCAAGTATTATTTCCTGTCAGTGCCCCACAGGTCATTTCCAATCTAGCCCTTGCTTTTATTATTAAATGTGATTTTGCAACATATATCTATATCAAAATAAGTTTTAGGCTACTTGCATTTTTCCTCTCACACTACACTTAAGAGGTCACTAAGAGGTGAGAATTTTTGAGCCTGGAATGATGAGAAAAGAACAATGGGACAGTAATAATATCCACTCTTTGATTCCTCAGAGATGTGCTCAAAGCCACTCGCAGATGCTTTTATCCTCAACACAACAAAGTCTGTTTTCTTATCTGGGGATGAACTTCACTATGAATGTAAAGAGGGGCTTGAAACCATTAAAAATACCATTGGTGATACCATTGTGTGCAGGGAGAAGGGATGGGAGCCAACTCCTGGATGTCTGCGTAAGTTAATAAAATACAATATTTT